TTACTCTAGGTAAATAGGTTTGATAACCTCATTTATCTATCTATCTATCTATCTATCTATCTATCTATCTATCTATCTATCTATCTATCTAACTGTTTTTATTTTCATAATTATTTTACGTACACTCACGTGGGCCCTCATTTTCCTAGGTTTTTTTTTCTAATCGGCAACAAGCAAGAAAATGAAACGAAACAAATTAAACGCAGATGTAAGGTACAAGTACAAAGAATCCCTAAAAATAATTGAATATATAGGCCTTCAAGATACAATCCGGCAATTGAACACTTTAAAAAATCCCCCAGCCAGTTCTGCTTATACGAGTACATCAGAAATACAGTTCATATCCAACAATATGTCACCACTGACTTCACTTTTTGCTTCAAAAAAGGAAGACATATTTGGACAGACGAGTTTTTAAATGTACCATATTCCCTTGGCCAGCTCCCATGAAGTCAGAGCACGAATTGGTTTCGTTTCTTTTTATGTTCCATTCTTTTTAGTCGCGTCGTTGGTCTCGCAGACGAAAGAAAGTACCCTCCAGGAAGCTGTAGTTTTTAGTGGTGTCTGTCGTAGGCTGTCAAACCATGATCTTATTTCTAAAAGGTTCTATAACTCCTTCTAAGAAGATAAAGGCCACGGGATTGCACAAATGAATTACAAGAAAAAAATAATATGCTATTTCGTAAGTGTTGTCATGATGATGATGATGATGATGATGATGATGATGATGATGATGATGATGATAATTTTTTGTTGTTTCCTTAATGGGCCTGGCGGACTCCGCGAAGAAATCTTCGAGCCAGAGAGAGTCTCTTTTTCGGCTCCTTTGTCAATATGCTTAGCGGCACCTCCACTCATCCAAATAACTCCATTCGAATTGCCATTGTTCCTGGACATTAAAACATTTGTTTGACATCCTCCTTTTCATGGCTGCATCTTCGACATCATGGGCTGAGCTCTTCATTTACAAAGTTCTTATAGCATCTTAAGCTCCAATGATGGTCCGACCAGGAGTACCCAGAATACACATCTTCCAGGTGCTGGTACTTAGCTCTGCATGGTGGAATTCTGATTTCCCTCTTGATCTTTTAAAAGACTCCACTGTATGTTGTTGGTCGTCTGTCTCCTTCAATCTCTCTGGCTTCATTAGCAGCTTGGTCTGCTGCCTCATTTACTTCTATTCTAGTATGGCTTGGAATCCACTGGATTTTTATTATGGCTGTGGCTTCACTGAACTTACGGCGCAAATCATATATGTCCGATCTGTTGCCAAGCAGCCCCTTGCAGAGGGACTGACTGTCAGTCAATATCAGCACATTGGTTTGATGATGATGATGATGATGATGATGATGATGATGATGATGATGGTGGTGATGATGATGATGATGATGATGATGATGATGATGATGATGATGATGATGATGATGATGATGATGATGATGATGATGATGATTC